ATGCAGGAAGCACCGAGGAGAGCCTGGTAATAGAATACAAAGATAGCTTCGCTTAGGGGTTTAGTCGGGAGTGCAGTGGAGTCTGTGCTTTGTCCCTTGTGACTGTCGGCACAGTACGCATGCGCTTCCCGTTTTGATAACCACCTTATTGACGGTGGGTGAGCACTGGTGCTAACACGCCTGCAAAGCTGGATGTGGTGGGTGCTCTCTTTTTCCCTCAGGTGTAAGGGCTTCAGTTCTGATTCTTCTGACAACTGGAGAGCTTTAAGCCCCACAACAACGGCCTCGGACATGTAAGGGAAGCCTCATTGCAGTCTCCATTCACCCAGAGTCACTTTAATGGTGCGAGAGAGCACACTATGCACACCCCCCAGCATCTCATTACTTCAGGAAGTAGCCCTGCATCAGGACCGCTATCAGCATCTTGCTGGAGTCATCAGTATGTCCTTGACATCATTTTAATAGCAGTGGCAACTGTGTGATGGAAATGAATCGCAAGCAAGCGGTCCTGAGTCTGGGTTTCTTCTAGGTGACTTCTGGGCTCAACTCCATGCCCCGTCTTTGGCTGTAATGGGATTAAGTGGCTCGGCACTCTTTGTCATGGGGAGCACCATGGATGCCTGTCACAGATGTATTCTGTGTGTTGGCTGTAACACTGAGGATTCATCCATGAGCTGAGCTCCTGGGTATCAAACATAAAAAGGGTTCTGTAAGATGGGGCAGAGTGGGAGACCCACCACCGTGTTTCCCACGCACATCAGTTTCCAGAGTCTGTTGGGAGCGTGTAATCAGGACTCTCTTGGGTAGGTAATGCAGAAATCTCAAATCTTCCCTCAGCCCTCACTGGCTGACAGCAGTTTCTATCGTTTTGACTTGAGCAGGAAGTCTGGATTTCTGTCTTTTCCAAGCTTGAAAGCATCAAATATCTCCTTTTCAGAAGTTCTCTGCACATTTCTTTTTATTTCTCTTCTCCACAGCATGTAAGGCTTCACTTTTTTTTCTCTTCTTCATGCTGATGCAAACTGCAGATTTTAAAAATCTGTTCTGCGGCTAGTTTCCTTGGGCTATAAATATCTCTGCTTGGCTGTTTTAGAGCTGGATGATTTACAAATTTGGGGAAATGTAAGTAAAATCAGGATCCAACTAGATATCATGACCAAGAGGCCACAGAGCTCCAAATCATGCTTCTGGGATCCTTTGCACGGAGTTTGCTGGAGAAGCAGATAAATCTGTGTGATGACAGTCTATAAATAAGAGATAAATCTATAAACAGGACACAGCTGTTGCTACCTCAATAAAATAGTTTGAGTGCGAATAGTGGTTCATTGGAAAGCAACCTCACCTTCTCTGAGTTCAGGCCATAGGTTCTTTGTGTGTGTGTGTGCGGGGGTGGGTTTCAAGACAGGTTTGTCCTGGAACTCACTCTGTAAACCAGGCTGCTCTCAAACTCACAGAGATCCTCTTGCCTCTGCCTCCCAGTGCTGGGATTATAGGGGTACACCACCATGGCCAGCCTGTCTGATGGATAAGGTTGCTGATGCCCCAAAGACAGAAAAGGAAAAGAACACAGTGTGACCCTCCTCGTTCACTGCCCGTGACTGACAGCTAGAAGCTCTATTCTTCATATCGTAGCCATAGTCGGGTGACAGGAATTGACCAGTCAGTCACCTGCCTGCCTGAGGAGCAAGAGAAAGGGATTCTGTGCTACCTCCCACTAGAAGGCGGGATTATCTCTTTTCTCTCCGTGTGCAAGCTCGCTTTGCTTTGTGTCCCTCACATCGCCCACCTGTGCTAGCAGAGTCTCGTCCTGCGGGCAAGTCTATGCTAACAGCAGGGACACACCTGAACGCTGCGGAATCATCTTTGAAAACAGATTCAAGCCGGAAGGTGGTGGTGCATGCCTGTAATCCCAGCACTCGGGAGGCAGAGGCAGGTGGATCTCTGTGAGTTCGAGGCCAGCCTGGTCTGCAAGAGCTAGCTCCAGGACAGCCCCCAAAGCCACAGAGAAACCCTGTCTCGAAAAAGAAAAGAAAAGAAAACAGATTCACATTCTGCACACACTTGCAGAAAGCATCCCTGGAAGCAAGTGTTTTTGGAATATTCTGCGCACCCCATCCTTTCCACCTCGTCCCCTTTGCTCCCCCGCACTCATGCATGTGCGTTCCATCGAGTGAGGCGTGTTAGTCTGCACTCAGCTGATGCACTTTGCTCACCGCTGCTGACATTTCATTGCACAATTTTCAAGCGTGCCTTTATGGATAATCTTTTTATTTTAAGGACGCTTTGCAAAGTGTTGTGTCCACCTTTTTTGGTCCACGTGCGTGTGGTGTGAAAGGGACGACACCCTCGCGGGGATGTGGGGACGGCCGTCTTCTCACTCCCGCTCCTCCTTTTACGGATCACCCATGCCATCAAAGCCATGCTTACAGCGTGTCGCCAGTGTCTTTGGTTTAGGGATGAGGAGGAGGCTTGGTCTCATCGTGATTCCCTCATCCACAAAGGACGCTTAGACTGAACTCGTGACCAACTTCTAGCTGTGTGCTAAGCCTGTTGGCACTCATTTCAGAACATTTAAATTTCCCCTTATTTTCTGTCAATTGTCTCTCTGATTTATTTTACACATTCCCATAAAATGTCTTAAATAGGGTCCAGAGCAGAAAAGGCACAGTAGGTCGTGTGTAGGTGTGGAATCTGTGCAATGTGGAAAGCGTTTGACCTCCGTGACAATTGTCCCAGGCCCCGGGCAAATGAATCCATGGGCTTTAATGACCACATGAACGTGAGCTCCCATGGCCAGGTCCAGACGCCCTTTTCACTGGGCGTGGCTGGGTGCTGCCTGTCACCTCATTTGTAGCCCCTTTACCGTCTTCAAGTGAAGACAGTGTCCTGTGTCATCCTGTGAAACCTCGCCCAGCCTGTGAGTCTACCATGTTAAGCTTCTCCTAAAATAGTGTGTGGGTGTTTTGCTTACTCATGTCCGTGTTCCAGAAGAAGGCCTCACACTCCCCGGAACCGGAGCTGCTGGTGGTTTGAGCTGCCATGTGGGTGCTGGGAATTGAACTATTGCTCTTAACCCCCGGGCTGCCTCCCCAGCCTCTAGAATGCTGCTTATTGCTGAGGTAAAATCATTTGGCTGAGACCACTGACAACAGGTGCAGGGCCCCTACAGAGCTGTAGGAGAAAGACAACCCATCGGGACAGAGGCCTCACAGGATGAAAAGTGACAGGGACTCATGAAGAAATTCTGAGCAGCCTCTTTTGTAACCGAGGATGAGACAATTCATGCGTGCGGGTTCTCTGGCCTCCAGTCGGGCAGTATTCTATGGAAATGGGGGAGAGCAGAGGAATGAATATTCCCAATCACTGTTAAGGGGACTATACATTGTCATAGGCTGCAGGGCTTGTTTGGAGGCATTACTAAAAATTTAGATGCGGACACCGTGCCAGGAACTCCTTTTCCTGGGATTTATCCACTGAAACACTTACATACAGTCATAGACATATATCTGTGGATGGAATTGCCCTGTTAATCATAGTATTGAGGAAGAGGAATGGCTGGTCACTCCATCAGAAGAAAATGATTAAATAACACACATGTGTCTTTGGAAGATGGCTATGCAGCTACTTAATGAGTGAATATCGATGACCCTTTATGTGACAGTGTGGGAAAACCCTCAAAATATATGCTTAAAACAGGATCAGAACAATATGCCAATAGTGAGTATATGCACATAGTGTACAAATTTTCCCCTGTTGCACAATACGCCTGTGTATGTAGATTCAAGAATGTAAATACAGTAGGGGTGATGGAGGTTGTCCTTCTGTGTATATGTTTCTCTTACTGGTTAATGAATAGAACACTGTTTGACCAATGAGGCAGGAAGATGGGCGGGTCTAGGAGATGAAGAGAATTCTGGGAAAGGTAGGTAGAGAGTGAGCCCTCCACACAGAGTTGTGATGCTGCCAGAGGAGTAACACCATGCCAGGCATTACTGGGTAAGCCACGGCTTCGCAGCAATACATAGATTGATAGAAACGGGTTAGTAATTAAGACAGAGCTAGCCAATAGGAAGCCCTAGTCACCGGCCAACAGTTTAAATAATTAATATAGCGTCTGTGTGATTATTTGGGGCTGAGAAGGGTGCCGGGACCCTGCCTAGTCAAGAACCTCTCTTTACAGTGGGGTCAGTGTCATGTTCAGTCTGTAGAGTGCTTGCTTGCAAGGGTGAAGGCCTGAGTTTGGACCCCCAAATGCTGTGGAATGCCAGTGTGTTAGACACCTGAGATCTCAGTGATGGCGAGATGGGAGACACTGACCAGGAGGATTGCTAGCTGCTCGCTGGCAGGCAACCATAGTCTACGAGGTGAACTTCTGGGCCAACAAGAGACTCTCAAACAAAACATGGGAGGCTCCTGGGTGCTGCTAGTGGTTGTCCTCTGACCTCCACAGGTAGACATGCCCACGTGTGCATCCACACATACAGGAACACTCTCCCTTTAAGAAAAGGAGAAAATATGAAATTACCTGCTGTGGAACATTCGTTTAAGGTGTGTTACATTTGTTTGTGCTATGGAACGTTTGCTTAATGATGCAAAGACCCGTGTTACATTCTTTTATGTTGCATTTGTTTAACCCCGTAAAGCTGTGTTACTTTGCCTGCCTAAAACACCTGATTGGCCTAATAAAGAGCTGAATGGCTGGCAGCTAGGGAGGAGAAAGGACAGATGGGGCTGGCAGGCAGAAAGAATAAGGGGGAGGAGAAAACTGGGAAGGAGAGATCGAGGAGCAAGAGAAGGAAGAGGACTCCAGGTGCTAGCCACCCAGCCACACAGGCAGCCATGGAGTAAGACCTAAAGGAAGGTACACAGAAATAGAGAAAGATAAAAGCCTAGAGGCAAAAGATAGATGGGGTGATTTAAGTTAAGAAAAGCTGGCCAGAAACGAGCCAAGCTAAGGCCAGGTGATTATAACTTAAGAATAAGCCTCTGTGTGATTTACTTGGGAGCTGGGTAGCAGGCTCCCCGAAGAGCAAAAGAGTAAAAACAAACAAACAAACAAAAACCCAAAAGAACAACAATCACCAAAGAGGAGAAACCTTGCAGCCAGGAGGAAAACACAGGTAAGGAATGAACTCTATACAGTAGTAACTCACGATGAGACCCGGCTGCGTTCCATGTTTCCTTTGTGCCGTTGCTCCTTTTATTCTGTGACCAGGCAAAAATGTTTTTCCATTTTGTAGGGTTTCAACCAATCTTTTCCGAATGCATCAGGAGGGGGGAATGGGGAGTTGTCTGTTTTAATCCATTCTATATCCCCTTTCCAGGGAGATCCATGCCTTCCCCCAGCCCTCCTTGTTACTTAACCTCTGGGTCTGTGGATTTTAACATGATCATCTCCTACTTTATAGCTAATATCTACTTGTAAGTGAATACATATCATGTTTGTCTGTCTGGGTCTGGGTTACCTCACTCAGGATGATTTTTTTCTGATTTTTTTTTATTATTAAAGAAGCTTCTGTGAACATGGTTGAGCAAGCGTCCTTGTGGTAAGATGGAGAGTCCTCTGGGTACGCCCATGCACGGTATAGCTGGTCTTGAAGTAGACCGATTACCAATTTTCTGAGGAACCACTATATTGATTTCCAAAGTGGCTGCGCAAGTTTGCACTCCCACCAGCAATGGAGGCGTGTTCCCCTTGCTCCACATCCTGTCCAGCATGAGCTGTCACTTGTGTTTTTGATCTCAGCCATTCTAACAGGTATAAGATGGAATCTCAAAGCAGTTTTGATAGGATGCTTTTCCCTGATGGCTAAGGATGTTGAACGTTTCTTTGTTTCTTGGCCATTTGGGTTTCCTCTTTTGAGAATTCTATTTAGATCTGTACCCCATTTTAATTGGATTATTTAGTTCATTGATGTCTAGTTTCTTGAGTTCTTCATATGTTTTGGATATTAGCCCTGTGTCAGATGTGAAGCTGGTAAAAATCTTTCCCCATTTTGTGTGCTGCCTTTCTGTCCTTTGCCTTACAGAAGATTTTCAGTTGCATGGGGTTCCATTTATTTATTTTTTTAGCTCAGTGTCTGCCCTATTGGTGTTCTGTTCAGTAAGTTGCCTCCTGTGCCAATGCACTCAAGATTATTCCCCACTTTCTCTTCCATCAAGTTCAGTATATCTGTTTTTATGTTGAGGTCTTTGATCCACTTGGACTTGAGTTTTATGAAGGGTGATAGATGTGGATCTATTTGCATTCTTCTACATTCTGAATCCAGTTAGATTAGCAACATTTGTTGAATATGCTTTCTTCTATTGTATGTTTTTGGTTTCTTCATCAAAATTCAAGTGTCCATAGGTGTGTGGATTTATGTCTCGATCTTCAATTTGATTCCGTTGATTAACATGTGTTTTTATGTCATGCAGTTTTTTTTAATTACCATAGCTCTATAGTAGAGCTTGAAGTCAGGGATGGTTATAACTCCAGAAGTTCTTTTATTGTACAGGACTGTTTTATCTATCTGTTTTTGTTTGTTTTTGTTTTTCATAGGAAGTTGAGCATTATTCTTTCAAGGTCTTTGAAGAATTGTGTTGGAATTTTGATGGGGATTGTATTGAATTTGTAGATTGCTTTTGGTAAGATGGCCATTTTTACTGTGTTGTTCCTATCTATCCAAGAGCATGGGAGTTCTTTCAATCTTTTGGTATTTTCTACAGTTTCCTTCTTCAAAAACTTGAGGATTTTATCACATAGGTCTTTCAGTTGCTTGGTTAGAGTTACCCCAAGATACTTATCTTATTTATGGCTATTGTAATGGGTGTTGTTTCCCGATTTCTTTCTCAGCCTGCTTGTCATTTGTATACGGAAGGGCTACTGACTTTTTTGAGTTAATCTTCTGTCCAGATACTTTGCGGAAGATGTTTGTCAGCTGAGGGAATTCCCTGGTAGAATTTTTGGACCTAGGCATGCGCGCGCACACACACACACACACACACACACACATACACACACAATCTCCAAACAGTGATACTTTGGCTTCTTCTTTTCCAGAAGACTCACATTGTGGAGCCTTAATCCCCATCTCTCACCCCCTCTCTGAAAATTCCCTCTGCAGTGTCTGCAGTGCCAGTGTCCTAGTGAGGAATAAAGCCCCCACTGTGTGCTCTAACAGATGTCATCTCTTTTTACATTAGTTGGCATTTCTGTTTAGAGATCAAGGTAGCCCATCTCATCCTTACCACGGGGGATGGGACCGATTCCCGCTCATGTCCCTTTGAACACTGAAACCTGAAATATGGCCTGTGAATATTCGTTCTCTGAGAGTTGGTCACAAATAAAACACCTTGGGCCCTACATCTAACCCTCTGAAACTAAGAGGCTGTAGAGTTATGAAGCCGTGAATCCCCAAATCACAGGACTTGAGGGGCAGCCCAGAAAAATGTATGTTAGGGGCCTCAGGGCAGTCACCAGCTGTGCAGTGTGAGGGGGGCTGAGAGCAGAGCTACACCTGTCAAATGTCTGTGGACCAAAAGCTCAGGTCTGACACGGAGGGTGGGGGGCGCAGAGCTGCTCAGAGTGCTTAGAGCCGCTGGGCTGGGAGGGACAGCTGGGCTCTGCACAGGGGCTCAGGGCCCTTGAAGGCAATGGGTGCTCCTGCCTTCTGGTGCCCACCGTGAAGGGAAGGTGTGCTGAACATCAGAGACTTCTCAAGATGCCAGTAGATGGAGGAGCTGTCGCACCTCCCTCTGTCCCAGCATGCACTTGGCCTGTTCCAGCCTATTTCAGTCCCAGGAAGCACAGAGAGGAGGATGCTGGTACACAATTGGCTTTCCCCCCTTTTCTCTACTCTGTTCTGCCTGGGTTTCCAGCCTATGGGATGTCGCCTCTCACGTTTGGAGTGGGCCGTCCCCCTCAGTTAGTCAGAGCGGGTAAGGGATGGGAGAAAACAGAATGCGTCCCATGTGTGAGCGCGGAATTACCGAAGATAATTTAGTTAATAAAATGGCTTTCTCTTTCCGTTTAAAGTGCTCATCACCCACACATTATAGTTCCTTTATTCTTTCTTCACGTCTGTGTAACAGGCTGGTCTAGAGGTGAGTCACAGTTTACGTACCTTATTTTCTTCAGTGCCAAATGCCCCGAATGTCCTCAGTCACTTTGCTGGTATATCCTGTGCTGTAATGAAACCTCGCGGGCACTGCCTCACGTCTGTGCAGAAGTGGTCTTTGAAGGAATTCCAGAAACGGGAGCCACCGGATCATCAGGTACACATGAGCTCACCATCTTCGGGGACGCGCTCCCCAACAATCGATGGCAGATTCCTCTACTTCCCCTCGCCCTAAAACCCTGTGCTATCTAATCCCCTGGATGATCACTGGCCCGATAAGAAAGCAGTCACAGTATCATTTACAAATCTTTTTATTCAGATCCAACAAAAGGGCATGGATCACAGGTGTGGGAGAAATTTAATTCATGCCCGTGTCCTGAAGTGAACTCATGACGTCTCTCCCCCGGAAGCCACAGAGTTCGGGTCTGACATTAAGGTCTCTGACCCATGTTGTACAGTGAGAGATGAGGGTCTAGTTTCATTTTTCTAGATGTTGGTGCCTGTTCCCCCACAGCATGTGGGTGTAGAGTCATGTATCTCAATTCTACCCCCTGCTCTACGGATGGGCGTTTTGTGTGAGTACCATGCCGTTCTATTACTATGGCTCTGCAGAATGGCTTGACACCAGCTGTGGTGCTACCTACGGCCGCACTCTACTCTGCAGGGCTGCTTTGGCTCTCTGGGGTCTGTTGAGTTTCAGCTTGAATCTCAAGGTTGTTGTTTCCATTGCTGTGAGGAATTACACTGGGATTTTGATGGCGGCTGCACTGGATCTGTAGATTCCTTTTGGCAAAACGGCCATTTCCCCCAGTACTGGTCCTTCCAATCCCCATATATAGGAGGACTTCTTCAATTTCTGTCTTGGGTGTTTTAAGGTTTTCATTGTGTAGGGCTTTCACCTTGGTTAGGCTTATCCAGGGTATAATTTTGGCGCTACTCTGAATGGGATCGATTCCCTGGTTTCTTTTTTGTATGCTCATCTTCAGTATACAGAAAGGCCACTGAAGTTGATATTAATTTTTCTCCTTCATGCCCCTGAAAATGTCAGCCTTTGGGGTTTCTGTTACAAACGTGGTCTTTGGATGTGTGAAAAAGAGATTTTCATCCCCTTAGGAAGAACTTTGGCAGAATGAGTTTTTAATTGCCATAAAAGTCAATCTATAAATTTTTTGTTTTGGTGTTGCTCACTCCTAAGAACTCTTTTACCTAAGTCCTAAGATTCATTTTCTCACTTCCCTAAAAGCATCACAAACAAACATTGTCTATTAATCTCACGATTCATTTTGAGATGATTGAGTCTGTGAAGTATGTGCATGTAAATGTTCATGTGTACACTGTTCAGGCACACATGGAACTCTGCGTGTGTGCTGAAGTCCATGCTGGCTGTCTTCCTCCTTTCTCTCTATCGTAACCTGTGATACAGTGCCGTTCCCCGCCTGGAGCTCAGCAGTAGAGTAGAGCAGCTGGCCAGTGAGCCCAGGGACCCACCAGTCTCTGCCCCAGGACTGGGATTTCACCTGAGTGCAGGGAACCCAATCGCTTGCCCTTGTGCTGACTGACACAAGAGCAAGCACTTTGACAATGAGACGGCCTCTCATTGTGAAATAAAAAAGTATATAAGGTTTAGATTGCTTTAAAATATTTTCACTAATTCTTTGAGAATTTCTTGCAATGCATTGTGATCATATTAAACTTCCACTCCTCCCCCTAACTCCTCCCAGGTCTACTCCATTCCCACTCTCTCTCAATAACTGAGTCCTTTTAAAAAATAACCCATTGACTCCAATTTGTACTACTCATATGTGGAGATACACCTGTGCTCATATGCCATGCATGCACGCACACACGCACACACACACACTCACAAACATGCACACAATCACATGTGTACATATGCATATATGCATACACACAGGCATGCATACAGGTACACACAAAGGCCTGCATACCTGTATACACACACACTCACAGACGCACACACATACATGCACACATATGCTCACATATACACATACATACACATTCACACATACACTCATACATGCACATGTACAAATGTACACATATACATGCATGCACACATGCATACACATAGACATACACAATGCTCACACATGCACACATGCTCACACATTCATGCACACTCACACATACAAATGTACACATACATGTGCATGCACACACATACACACAGACATACACACACGCTCTCACACATGTACACATACTCACACATTCACGCACACTCACACATGCACATGTACAAATGTACGCACACATGCTTACACACAGGCATGCACACACACACATACACACACACCTTTTTGCTGTGCCACTGAACATCATTTTATAGAAAGACTCCATATGTCTAAAAGTCTCTTATTGCGTTTTTGAGGGGATTCTTTGAAAACAATAGGTCGATTTAGGATGAATTTGCACGTTCATTACGCTAAATCTTCCAATTCAAGAACGGTGTTGTTCTTCGGTTATTTATGTCTTCTTATACATTTTGGGTTTTTTTTCCCGTAGCATTTGGATTTACGTGGAGTAGAGGAAGCAGACACCATGGCCCCAGATGTTAAGAGAACATGCCACATTTCCCCCAGCAATTAGCTAACATTTTGTGTGTGTGCACATGGCGTGTGCCACAGCACATACATGGACGCCAGAAGACAGCATGTGGGACTCGGTTCCCTCCTTCCACCATGCCGTCTCCAGGGACCAAACTCAGGTTGTCAGGCTTGGTGGCTTTGCCTGCGGAGCTGTCTCGCCAGATAGTTTATCATTCAGGCTTATTCTCTGTGGTCCATGAGGAAGTTGCTTCACGAAGCACATTGTACCTGTGGCAGCTAGAAGGTGAGCACCCTGGCGTGTGTGAGACATCCCTGAGAGCCACACACAGGGACTCTCCACACCGAGCGCACGGATGATGCCCTTTGACCTACACAGTCATTGTTTCAGCTTAGTTGGTTAGTGGCTTTTAATGAAACACTTGACATTTGCCTTCAGCCTTGCTCTTTAGCCCTCGCTCCTTGCTGTCGTACGATTTGCGTTCACATTTTTTTTTTTTACAACAGCTTAAAGGAAAATTGCTTCCCGGAGAAGTCAAACAAGTTGACACATTTATTTTCAGGCACCGAAGGAGATATATGTTGGGTATTTATATAATTTCTGTCTCGTTTTGGTGGTCTAATTTTTTTCTCTCTTCTGGATTTTTATCTGCATTTCTAATCACTGTGATGAGTTTAATCTCCTCTTTCCTATGGCTGCATCCCATATGCTGTTACGGACCCTGGAAGCCGTCAACTAAATACCTCCTAATTAAATCAAAGCCATTTCCATCTCTGGTTTCACTTTTACAAAAAAAAAAAAAAGCCCAAAAAACAAAACCTACCACCATCAAAGGTCCCTGTCTCTCGCTTATGCCTCTAGGCACCTGAGGGCACACTGCCGGGACTCCACCAGACCCATGAGGTAAACAGGGGCGTCTTCTTTCAGCCAGACGGTCTCAGAGTTCTCGGATACCCCGGCCTGCTCACAAGAACAGCGGGCACATCGAAGCTGGCTCATGTTTCTGCCTGAACTCATGCTGGTCTCATATTCGACTCTTCCATGAAGTTTCCTTCAGCATGTGATTCACTCCAGGCCAGAAGGCCCTTCTGCAACAGAAACAGGCCAGCCCTGCGAGGGATTAGTCAGATTCCTGATGTAATTCTGTATAAACTGCTCTAGCACAGGCTTTCACTTCAAAGTTCGACACTGATGGTTAAGAGGGGAAAATGATTCCCTTATGATTAAAAAGAAAATGGTTTATTTCACGCATACTCAAAGCATCAGAACAAAGCAGGAGAATTTCCTCTTTCCATTCGCCCCCACCTTCCCCTACACAGTCAACGAGGACAGGCCGGGCCCTCCCTTCTCTCTGGGCAGGATTCAGGCCAGCTCCACTGTCCCGTGACCCGCTGGTCCCTGTCCACAAAACGAAGAGCTTGTGACGGAACGAGAACCCAGCACACAGCTGTGCACTCATTTTGGCTCAGCAGAAGCTCATCTGTATTCTTTGTTGACAAAAGGAAGCCTGTGAGTCACACTCTGGTCGAGCTTCCTCCACCGAACCAGCAGGGAGGTAGGGCTAGCACAGACCATCCTCCCAGAGGGAAGGCCATCAGTCTGACTTCAGAAGAAGCCAGAGAAATGGCTTAGGTTGTCAGCAACACCCAAGCACACAATCTAGCTTTGCGGAAAGTATGCGTTGATAAACCAGCAAAGAGCTCCATAAAACCAAGACAAGCGGCCACTGTGGATCTGAGGCTCCCGGGAGCCAGTGCCAGGGTCACTTCTGGAGCGGGGCAGCAGCAAGGACTTGTTGCTATTTGTTCTTGACTCTGGTCTTGAGTTCTGTCTCCCGGGAGTCGCCATATTTAAGAGGCCACCCACCCTGCAGTAGAAAAGCCAGGCTTGGACACAGGAATGAGACCCAGAGGAGGCAGCGCAGCAGACACAGCCAATGGCAGGAGCTCTTTTTCCTTCATGTCCTTGCTGTTAATGATCCAGAGGGAAGTGGGCAGCAGACCTGGCGTAGTCAGTGGGAAAACGGTGGGCATGGGGCCCGCTGATTCAGCACAGAGCGTCGCAGCACAGTCCTGTAACTCGGAAGGCTGAGCCAGGGCCAGGGGTTAGTAAAGAGAGGCTCCACTTGAGAGCTTTACTCTGTTTACTTTGTGTCAGAACCAAACAGTCGGGCAGCACTCCACGCTCAAAGGCTCTGGAAGATGTTGTGCATATGCCTGGATAATAACCTGTGGCAGCACCACCAAGAAGGTATGATGTGTGCTCATGAAAAATTACAGATCTTGACATCATGGTGTGGATACGTAAAAGGAATAGCTCTTCAAAGACACTTTGGGAGACACGATAAGTGCAGCTGATGTTGAGCACAGTGTATCTTTTTCATTAGCAATAAATAAGATTAGTTGAGTTCATCATGCTCCTGCCACAGTGGACCGAGTTGATCTCACCGCACCGTGATAGGCAGAAACCTCTGAAACCATGAGCCCAGATGAAGCTTTCCTTTCTTAAGTAGTCTCCATCAGGATTGTGGTCACCATTAAGGAATAGTACAAGAACAGTAGCCCACTGTGTCTCCACAAATAGGGC